TGGGCATGGCCCTTCTGGTTCGATATCTGAGAGCACCGCCGGTGTTGTGAAATTTGCGCCAACCGGCAGCGCTACGTGCAGTCTCCAACTGAAGATTGTGACTCATATTACTTCCAGGCCAAAATAAACGTAGCCGTCAACTTCTTGCAAATCAGTCCTACCTGTCTGCAATATAGCCGCGAGTTACCTTTACCTTGCATCATTTTCGTTTTCGGTGCGTTAATTTTCATGTCCACTGTGTCCGTGTATTCAGATCTTGCAGCGTCTCCTTTTTCATACGACGGCTGTTTTGCCTATGAAGCGGAGGTAATTTAATTGCATATCACTGATATCCAGACCGCGTTTCTTTCTGAACTTACGAAATACCATCTCTAGGCAAGCCGTAAAAAGCTTGGGTGTTATGAGATTGTCCTGCCTCACTATTCATCTCGACTGTTTTACGTATTGGAACAGAAGAAAGTTTTGCGGTCCTTCATGCTGTAATTTTTTTAAAATTTAGCTTGTTCTCTCGGCTGCTGTTCATTGGAGAGCCTTGTTAGTTGGTTAATGTTAATTCACATGAGCAGCTTGTAGATGTGAGAGTAAGCAAATTAAGGGATAATTCTGCAGGTTTTTACTATCGCTGTTTTTGTGTAGCAAAGCAGTTTTTGACTCTCCTCAACAGCGAGTATCCTTCTTTCACCCAAGTGCCGAACGAATTGAGTGTTAGAGACTTCAGATTTTTCTGCTCTGAATCCAGTGAGCATGACATTATTGCCTTCATTGCTGTGGAGGTTTCCCTTTTTATGCGTTTTTGCTGTGCAGCGCTACAGCGCTGCTACAATCAGCGAAAACATGGAAGCGAGTGCATTTTGTCATCCACTTTCATCTCAGCAACCAGGAAAGCTGGAAGGTTGAAATATTGGATATGTATTTCTACACCGTGTGTCACCCTCCCGTTTTAAGATCTTCCTTCACACGCGTGTAGACCCTGCGTACGGACCCCCAAACAAATATGCAAATTTCTTTGGCAGGAAAAGATTTCGCGAACCAGACAAGATACATGGCTAAAACTTTGCAGAGATATTCTCTGTGCATGTGCGAGCTAAAGATTTCAAAGGCAGCTGTGGCGCATGCTTGTGGAGACCGTATAATTGCGTCAAATTTTGCAGCTTGGTCTGCGTTAACTCGAAAACTTGCCAGAAAACAGTGGCTGAAATTTTGTGAGCATATTTGTTGCCCCTGTAGGAAATCGTATACTTAAAATGAATACCTTCTTGCACTTGCGGCACGGCTTAGGGCACTTCAAAGATATTTGTAGCGAAGTGAATACTTCGCTTACTGGATAAGCTGCGAGGTTGGAAATTCGTTGGGGTATTCTAATTTCAAGTGCGGTCTTAATTCTGCTTGGAAGTGAAATTCCCTGCAGGTGGGCGTGAGGAATACTTAACTTTGCCGAAAAGTCAAAAATGAGCGCGTTTTGCAGCGAACGAATACCCTCATCCAAATATGTAAATGAACATTCAGTTCATTTGCATACTTGATTTTTTGACAAACGACCAATCGAGCAATACTCCCACTTTTTAGTGAACTGAAAATTTGCAT